TTTTTTTCAAACAGTAATCAATGGGAAATGTAGCAAAATGATATGTTCACTCATTTTCATTGTTCCTCTTTCTTTCGTGCCTATATCTCCAACAAATTGAAGAGGTAGATACGTTGCATAAAAGTGAACCTGTGAACAGCGTACACATGATTCAACGGGTTTAAGGCCATTCTTGAATCCTAGAAAGACATTAGAGTTTTGAACCTTTGCGCGTTATTTGCGCATATTTTTCTCTTTTGGACCAAAACAGTGCGGAGAAGGGGGAAACGAGGAGAAATTTGAAGAGATTTATGAGGTGACGAGAGTGGTCACGTGAGACACATGGTAGTGATTTCAAACGATAAAAGTACTTATAATGGCACTGAGAGGAAATCGTTCCTCATATATTTAAATAAAAACGACTTCAAAAGAAAAGTCATTTTTGCATGTTGTCTTTAGATTTCCTTTTTGAATCAATAACTTTTGAAAGTTGTGCAGTTGTCTGCGTTCTACAGCGCAAGATGCAAGCGAAATGATCTTAAGGTTGAGATAGTCCAGCCGCAATAGATCTTCAGAAAGTCATAAAAAGAGATGCGGGTTTTTCGGTGGGTTCTTCAAAATAATTCGCTGTACTTGATATCGAAAGTTAGGCATTTGTCAGCTGCATTGTGGATAAGAATTCCTATCAAATGGGTGAAAAAAGGACTCAAAAACTTCAATTTGACTTAGAAATAGAAAAGAAGAAAAACACGATTTTTCTCATCATCCACCCAAGCCAAAAAATTGAATTTTTGCGCAGGTCCCTTTTCAAATGTACGTTTCAAGACCTTCATACTGATATACGATTCGCTTACATTAAATCGCAAAGAACGGAGAAAAGGGCACTAGAGCCAAATCCCCATGGAAGACGTTTGATTGCTTAGAGAGTGTGCAGTTTTGAGAGACGGCAGAGAACGATTAGAGCCGATAAGGCATTTGGCTCTGGTGGGTTATTTCGAGTCCTACTCACGAAATTCCCAACATCCATGTATAATTCTTCTCAGAATCGTATGGACAAACCAGCTGACAACTGTGCAACTTTCATAAGTCCCATCGTAATAAATTATTCCTTATTCGTTTGATTTTCACTACTCAAGGCTATTTGACGTAAATGCTGTCCTAGTTTAATTCTAAATCATAATGATTGATACTTCCAACGATGCATGCCTTTCGAAGTTCTTACACATATCAACTGCTTCGAAAGAAATAATTACAGGACGAATTAAGCACTTATTCCTCACAATTTGTTGCCTTTTCAACTCCAACTTTTGCCTTCAAAGCTACGCTTTTTTATTCTCACTAAAATCCATAGTTCTTATGTACTACAATATCCTAATCTTTTTCGTTAACAGTAAAAATTTCCTCCCCCTATTGATTTTATAATTTTCGATCTTCAAACTTCTAGTGTGTAGAAAAGTCGATGTCCGAGGCTCTCCTCGACTTTCTCAAGCTTTTAGATAGGGGTCCTACTCTTTCTTTGCTCATTATTGAAGGTGCCCAGAGCCGTGGCTCTATGTATCTAACCTATGCTAGTAGTAGATTAACTTTTGCCGAAGATAATAACTTTATTAACAGATTCATTAAGTCTCCTCGATTTGCTTCCGATGTTAGTGCAAAATACAAATGGTAGCAAACTTGATTTTCTCGGAGAAAATCTTGGATTCACATCGAGAAGTCTTGATTGCTCCACTTTGAAAAGAATTGGACTTGTCGACACGGGAGAAAATTTCGTAATTGGTTGTGTTGCTACTAATAACGTCCGAAACTCTATCTGCATACGTACCGGTGATATACGAAAAAATAATCATGAAGGTAATGTTAATTTATGAATCCATTTCTATAAGTAACCAGCTTTTTCTTATGAACTAAAGATCTTTGTTTAGCATCGCATGCTTTTGCTACAATCTATCGCAATCATAAATTATTTGTTGGTTCAAAGCAATACAATATCCACAAATCAACAAAAACTCTTGCCTTTAAAAGAGTGTGGCATCATACTGCTAGAGGGAGAGATAATCTCACGACAGGTTTGTTCTTCAAATAGGCTCTGAAAAAGACGAGTTTAAGGAGTTTAAGCTCTTTAGAAGGCAACAAGGAAATTCCTGCTCCTTCTCCTTGCGTTGAGCAAATAGCCCCAGCGGACGAATCGCCTGTAATGAGTGGGACTATAATTGGAAAGGTCGGTTGCCAAAATGATTATATGGCCCTAACAAAATCTACTAAGAAACTCCTCATTTGAAGTTTAAGTAAACATGCGTGAATATCAGTCACGCCTCTACAATGAGGTATGTTAAGGCAACTTTTTAAAATGCTCTTCTTGTTAGCAAATCTTTTTAGACAAAAGAACATTTGACCAATAAAAACAGTATCATATCAGCGTTCTAATAACAATTGCAGGATTTGTTGCTTTCATTAGAAAGCACAACTATGGCAACATTGCAATTCGACATAACCAATGTGAGTAGCTGATTGCGTTTGGTATGCCAATACCTTCGCGGAACAGAAAACCTTAGATATTACAACCACTTCATGGCAATTTTCGCGTAACCTGGTGGGACACTGAGTTATTGGAATGGTCAGAAAACAATCAATGCGAAACAACAACCGTAGGGAAGACACTTGTTGCTCACTGTAATCACTTGACGGATTTCACTTTGATAGTGGTAGGTTTTTTGTGTTAACTGCAAATATGGAAATGGCTTAAAAACACTGCTGGTTTTTCATTAGCTTTCGCTCCAACAATTCGTTCTTTGGAAAGCAAAAATCAATGGAGCGCCACATAGAAAATGGCAAAAAAGCCACGAGGAAGCTTTCTGAATCGAATTTTGAACAGATAAGCGTAAAGAACGCAGTCTGATGGGTACTTCGAGCAAATTTACCAGAACTCTATCAAACGCATCAATTTTCTAGGCTGCTGCTCTCAACGATCCCAATGTTTGTGATAAATTACTCATGGGCTTGGGCTACACTGTAAACGCATTATCAATAATATCATTATTGTTTTTATCTATCGTCTATGCTTGTGCTTAGTAAGTTCGAATCAGTGCAAGTTTAAAATTGAGGTGTCCTAGGATAATTGGTTCCAGTTGGCCAACAGTTGGTGGGAACCAATTTCTGCTGTATTTGCGAGACTACACACCTACGCAGAGAAACTTTGTCAGCCTATCTCATAAGGTCTCGATGTTGTTATTTTATGTGCTGTTCACAATATTTTCTGATAAGAAAATATCCGGTGAAGGATGCAGTGTGTTCGCTTCTTTGTCATATACGTTACTCATGAGGTATGCCAGAAAAATTATTATCCAAGAAACTATTGTTTGATGCATATTGATTCTTTTAGCTCCGTTTTTTTGACAATTTTTCAAGCCCTTCAAGTCACAACTGCATTCGCTACAACTGGAAAATGCATGGAAGTAATGGTTTTGCCATCGACAGCAGTCTTCATAAGTTTTAGTGAGTAAATACTATATCTATAGTGGTTGCGGTGCAAATTTGAGACATTTACAACATTGCTTTACGCTCCTTCAAAAAAGGGTGCGTATTGTTAGATATCCGGTTCTGGGCGAGAACGTACCAGACAGCCAGATCCGCTGTGATCGATGAAATCCAATCGGTCGAGCCTGACGCCGCATCTCAGGCCTCGCCCACTTCCGGCTGTTACGACGGCTATGTCGCATTGCAGCCGCTATCTCAGCGCTGCCGAGAAACGGTAACTTGGCGTCTCGTCGTGTAAAATACTCACACTGCGAACTAACCCAAACATGCAAATCTCTGTTCCTCAGAGAAGAAACATCTTTACTTTTATAGTATAGAGACGACTCTTGCATGGAAATGGAATACTATCTCGTTAGACATTGTGGACAATGAATGGTAATAATGTCTCTAGGTGTTGACTGTCTGTCCACATTCTCTAAACAAAGGCCGTAGCGGTTATGAAAGTTTAACTTTATTTCCTGGTCTCTGTGTGATTAGGAACTGATTAGTCTTTCGGATATGTCATGGACATCACCAATTTTTGGCGGTATAAAGGTCAATTCTTTTGAGGCAGCCCACCCTCAGGCAACGTACACCTAGCTACTCCGCGTGGTAACACCTTGCCACATTTTAGTTCTACACGACCATTCATTGTACCGTCCTTCTTTTATTTTATCATCGGTAACATTTTCAAGACAATACCGGTAGCTACCAAAAAGTAGGAGTTTAATAAACTTAAACGGATGTATTCTTTTGCTTTTCGTATTTTTTGCATCAATTAATGCTAATGTTTATGAGACTTTCTCGTTTTATAGCTAGCTATACTAAATTTGCATAGTTTAGAAAAAATAATAGATACTCCTGTTTCGGATTAGAATCAAAACTGTGCTACTTTGCCCTCTGATTACGAAATGAACAACAATTGTGCATTCACTTCCCATAGATTTGAACTATCTATTGCTTCAATTCGGATTGCTCCCAATTTGGAGCTCGTAATTTTGTGAAATTCTAGAATTAATGTAAAAAATGCTATCCCCTTTCACTTACTTCAGTGTATTTCAGTTGCTTTAATCCGGTTCATTGCTATTCAAATAAATTTGTTTCTGTTTAAAATTCTGAGTTTAATATGGGAACTACTATTGATATTTTTATAATGGTGCTAAGAACATTGACACATCCATTTGTAATCTACAGGCCATGTTTGGGGCTTCCGCAGTGCAATTAAGTTTTCTTACGACGAGACGCTTAATTACAGTTCCTCGGCGGCGCTGAGATAGCGACCGCAATAGCCATCGTAAGAGCAGGAATTGGGCGGGGCCTGAAATGCCCACGGGGGTCTGGCACGCTCTCGCCCGAGAGGACACCGGGTATCTAACGCACGCCACCCTTTAAAAAAGGGTCTGCTCCCGTTCCAACTAAAGTCATTGCTAACTTCTAGCCTTCAGTCTATTCTGGCACTGGAATAGTATTCAGGCATCTCCGCTGATTTTGAATTGGTAATTTTCTGGAACGCAATTAGGATTTTTGTAAAAGCAATTAGAAGCAAAAAAAGCAGGAGGTATCGCTCTGATAATGATTTTTGCAGTATTCTAGTGCGTATGGTTAACCTTACAAGAGTCAACCCCATCTTGAACCGTTCCTCCTTCTTCTTACTTCTCGCAAATTCACTTTGGAAAAGATGTGAGATAGAGAATATCTATATATCTATCTATGTTTTTGATAACTATATATTCCTTACGCGGATCTTGTGGGTTTCAAATTGGCAGAAGAGGATGGTTCTCTCTTTTTTTTTTCTTGAGGTAAAGCCCCTATGTCAAAGAGCTTTAATCTATAGGATGAAAATTGCTGAATGAGTTCCCACGCAATGAAGTTCTTTTTAGAAAGAGAAAAGATAAAATTAAATTAGTTAGCAGCTATTCAGAGAAGTCAGGACTTCAGCAGAAAAATGGTTATTAAGAAAAAC